AATATAGAAAACTTTGAACCACATTTCCCTAAAACCACAGAAATGTTCTGCAGTGCTTTTATTCAAATATATCCATGTAGCCAGTAGCCGATAGCCTGATAGCTGATAGCCTAGCTCTATATATAGTGTAGATTCTAGTGTAGATAGTAGATCTAGTATAGATTCTAGTGTAGATTCTAGTATAGGTTCTAGTGTAGAATTTAGTGTAGATTGACATGCATASCACATCCATCCCACATCGACCCCRCATCCACCCTACATCCTCCCCTCATAGACCCCACAAGGTAGCCCCCTTTTGCTCCGGARCGGTTCCAGAGATGTAGAACACCCCTCMCCGTACGGGCCCGGGGTAGCCCGACGGGGCCTGTGATGCAGAACCGGTGTTTGTATACTACCGAGGTGAATATAAACTACGTCAAAATTCATTAGTATAATCCGTTCGAGAAAGAGCAAAACCAAACTGCATRAACCAAAGGTAGACTTGATGTTTTAACCATAAAAATACTAAAATTTAAAGACTTTGCTTAATTTTTTCAGAATTTGAAAAATACTCGAGATAAAAAAAATGTAAAATTACTCGAGATATAACTTTGAATCCAGTTTGTACTCAAGAAGCTCTGTATAAGTCATTTCGAGGTTGCAGAAATAACTGGTTCGAGTTGCATTGCAGTGCAATGGCAGGCTGTTTTAGGGGACAGTTGGTCACTATTTTGCATTTTAATATTTCATGATAACAAAAAAGAAAAACGTTTTAGTACTATTTCCGCTTTGGTAAATTTTTGGAAGAACCTCACAATTACTGCTGGAGGCAGTGATTATCGTYTCGGAATCAYTGGTCGTTCTAACAATATCACAGCGCGAGAAACTCTATAACCAAGTATAAAATTATACATCATTATACATAACTGAAACAATTTTTTAACTTCTKTACGACGCTCTTTCCTTGATTACATCCACTATTTTGATTTYATTTTTACAGTCTGACTTTCTTGATGTCGTTTTGAATTTGTCTAAGTCCAAATGATTTCAAGAATGTAACTTAATACAAACAATGACTACATTGAAGATCGGTCTWTGGAGCTTTCGTGTGGTGCAAARCAGGCACTCTAGTGGGTTTGGGGASAAACCGGGTTTTTGGGGGAACTTCATTGAAAATTTGGAACGAAAGAAAATTTAAATCGAGCAAAAAAGAAAMGAAGAAGGAGSGGGCGGGAAGGGGAAGAAGGGAACGCCTGCCAGCAGCCCTTGTTATTTTGAAAAACGCTTCTTAATTAGACATGCGTGTTCGAAACTCTAGCTGTCAAAAAGTRACCAATCGCGATTGAAGATGAATTTAACGGAAGTGAAAGACCACTTCTGATATAAACAATCAAACGTCAAAGCATTATAATTTTTATAGCGATTCTATGATCGCTAACAAGAGAATATTAAGTAAACTTACTTAATATTCTCTTGCCGCTAGCTACCGCGAATGAAAATTGGAAAAGATTATCTGGGGATTTTCCTTGCTTATATTTGAGAGAATATGAAAAAATAAGAAAGTTAGGCAAAAGATTACTGGATAYATAAATATATAAAGTAAATCGAGTTCCTTGAGGAGAAGAWCGAAGACAACAAAGGTAACTTGTTTAAAGTCGTCGCGCGCAAAGAAGTCGCTCAGCTACCAATTAACCGTTGAGGAAAACAATTGTTGGAAAAGAATAACGATGCAGATATTTCCTGTGAATGTGGACAACAGGCGGAAGGACGTCAAATTTTCACTGAATTTTTTGCCWGCCAAAGGACGGTCAAATTTTCAAGTAAAAGTTGATGTACGAAGCGCTTATGGCAATGTTGTCGTTAGAATTCCTCGAGATGAWAAGAGTAAAACTCTCGTAAAGCACATTGCCTACAATAATTGGAACGCGGCTTGCAAAGGTATTCTTCGACACCCTGGAATGCAAGATGATTTGAGTACCTCGAAATGAAAACCGCCATTGGATTCAAATAAATATAAAACGTTGCTTAACGCACTAGAAAACTCTTCAGCGTCGTCCGCTTATCACGTGGCAAGCCTGATGGCAAGTTCAAACGATCGATACATGATTGATTGCTGTCCATCAAAGATACTAAAGCCGAGCCAATCAGAAGCCTTCTTTCGCCCCCGAAAGAGTTCTTCAAAGCAACAATGTTTGTTGGCAGGCGTTCCCTTATTCCCCCTCCTCCTCCCCACACGTTCCCTTTGTTTGCTAGGTCCCATTTTTCTCGCAGGGCACGTAGTTGAAACAGGAACTACAAAACCCCGATTCTTCCTCAAACCCATCACAACAACGCCTGCTCTGCAGGCTATTGTGGTCTCAATGCAAACGAATTAGACGATTCCCCATATTTGAGTACTAAGAAAACAAACTCTATGTTTGACCTCTAGGGAGCGAAGAAGATTGTGTGAGAGGGAGCTATGGAGGAGCACACGCGTTTTGGCACCAAAAATTTTTTTATCCACAGACACTCCATAAATAACAGCCATGGAGAGAGCGATTTATTTTTCATTTTCTTTTTTCATACTTTTTCTTTTTCTTTTTCTTTTTCTTTCGTTTTCTATACTTTAGTAAGTAGCGTGTGTATGCAAAACTTGAATAACGACAAATAAATTGATTGATTTTATTGAAATATTCAAACGTTTTGATTTACTTTTACAGTATTACTTGAATATTTTTATTATTCTTTACTAAATATGTTAACCATCGATACTTCTTTTAAAGAAATAGCAAATTTATTTATAACTTGTCGTTTGACCTCTTCTAAACATTTCTCTTAAAAAATAAATACAACTGTTTTATAGACTATATATCTTCTGCAAACTCTCTGTTTTCAGTGCTAGCCGTGATTTCGTGTAGAATATTCATGTGTACCAGTAAAGGGTGGCGGAATTTCAAAGTGTATGTATTGCCTAGTTGAAAATTCTTCACTAAACATTGGTATTTGTGAATATTCGGACGCTAAAATAAGGCTAACCCTGAATCAAGGAATACAGCAGTACTTAAAATAATATAAATATTGACTTTGTACATGTTAAAATAATGAGCTTGTAATAGYGTTTGATATTTAACCAATTCAAACAATTAGAAAGGCTTGGTGGGAGCGGGAATTGAARTCATCTTAGTCGCTCTGTGGTACCGGTTGCTCTACTGGGTACCCTCTGGTTGTATACCCTGGCTGGGGATCCTGATCCTGCYAATTGTCAAATGATCTACTGTCAAATSTATACATTTATATTTTATGCTATTTGTACAGTTATATAGTTATTAGAATGGCATAAAATATTGATAGATTCGTGGACTGAGAAGGSGAAGTAGAATTAGATGTTTACAAGGGAGAATAAAAAAAMCGATGAATGGATAGTTGAGTGGAGGAATGGATGTGTGCATTGTAGGAGGTMCATGAAAGGGTTGGATKGTTGAATGGCGAGAGGGAGGTATGGAATAGCAARGGAGAGATGGGTGGTTGGATTTATGGATCCACAACTGGATGGATGCAAAGAGGGATAAAGAGAGAGGGACGAAAAGGGAAGAGAAGGAAGGTTGAATGGATGGATGGAGGGAAGAAGGGAGGAACCGGGAAGAAAAGAAGGAAGGAAGGAAGGAAGGAAGAAAGGAGGGAGAGAGGGAGGGAGGGAGGGGGGATGGAGTGATGATAAAAAAGCGTTGAACTTACATCGTCGTGTTCCGTCGGAACTTTCTTTTCCGTAGATTGAATATTTATATTTTGCTAAAAAATATAACAAAAAGGGTCATCCATCAACACTCAAAATGACAGAAGATATACCCCTATTTTTTATCTTTTTCTTGATGCTCGTTATTTCAATACTTATTTAGTCGTTTTGTTACTCTTATATTACTCATATATTTTCTTATATTTATAATTATTTTTATAATTTTCATAACTGCTGTAAAAAAATGTCCACACAAATTAATAAGTAGTTAAGACAAGTGAATAATGAACGGATTATTGGTTT